ATTTTTTTTACCGTGGGCAAAACCCAGGAGGGCCACGCCCATATTGACCCAATAACGTAACTGACCCCTTGCTTCTGAAGGTCGTAGAGACTTCAAAATAAGCTTAAACGAAGCCGCATATGCATGTTTATATAAGAGTTATTGATCAAAACATGGCCTAAAATCCTTACTTTTCGAGAAATTCGCCAAAAACCATTTTGGGCGTGGCGCTGAGCCCATTTTACTAACTTTTGATAGGATTGTGATAGAGTCTTTGGATAGAGTGCAAAAGAACTGCAATTGGCATATTTATATATGACTTACGAAGAAACATATGCCTTAAAGTGCTTGCTTTTTCAGTTATTGGTGAAAAACTGATTTTCGGTTCCAGAAATCATGCAAAAATATGGGTATCTGGTATATTGGGCTATGAAGGCCCTAGAGATTTTTGAATAAGTGCAAATTGTGCAAAATGGCCATGTTTATATACAACTTATGAAGCAACATGCACCCTAAAATGCTTACTTTTCGAGTTATTTGGGGAAAAAACAGAGAAAATTTGCACAAAATAGAGCAAACTTGGTTATATCAGCCATTTTTTCCTCCCGTTCTATGTTAATATTTCGGCCAGCACAATTTTCTTCAAACAAATAGATATTGAGTATCCTTCCCGACCTCCAATTGCAACAAAAATTGGTAAGCTTACTCATAGACTTACAAGGAAAGTGTCCGAAAAATTTAAAGCATATCCAACCATCAGACATTATGTTACAGCTAAAAGCAGCGTATTTTGCCCCATTTTGATCACTATATCAACTCCGATATCCACCAAATTTTTCGGACAGTTGTGAAAACCCTATTGGAAGGTTGTCGCCAATTTCCAGAATGATCTCATTTAAGGAACTGAAGATAAATCCGAATAATACGACAAAAATGGTCAAATTTGGACGAATTTGGTCAAATTACGCGACTTTTACAGCTACTTTTGCTCCAAAAGCCGCGCACCATCAAATATGGCACCTAGGCGAAACTCACTGATCTTTCCAAAAAGGTATGACAAATTTGGTATTGTGAAAATTCTCACAGTCTCTAGAAAACAGTGGTACAAAAATTTTTAAAATCCGAGCAAGTTTATTTTTATCGTGCACCCCCTACTTACAATTTGCAATTGAAATTTCCTTTTTCGCACGCGAAGCGTGCGTCGGCCTCCGTGCTCCGGGCTCCGGCCACAAAAGGCCGGCCGGCCTTCTCGCCGGCGCGGTTGCTGCTTCTGGCCGGAGTGCATGCATCATGCATTTTTCGCTTATAATTATATACCTAACTTGCTAGTTTATTGGCATTGCATGCTGAGCTGATTGCTTTTTATTACGTATAGCTTCGGAAGTTGTAGCACTATGCGCTACTGGGCCGCGCCGCGCATCTTCTCGCAACCACGTATGCAGATCGGCGAGATGCGAAGGTGGAAGGATTGACTTCGTGAATTCACTTCGGAAGCTTCATGAAAAGAGCGCCGCTCACAGGGACTGATGCGCGCCCAGGAAACATTGAAACAATACTATAACGGTGAGGGTCTATCTCCGTAAGTAAAATAAATATGGACATTCGACGCGACCTCCGGTTTTCACCAAGATCTTCGTCTCGCTCTCGTGTTGTAGCGCAATGCGTTACTGCGGCCGCGTCGCGCATCCAATAAATATAATGCTTCTCGCAATCGTTAGATCGGCGAGTCGGCGAGATGCGCTACCGGGCCTTTGAATGCAATGTATTCAGAATTAATATATGCACTTATACAAATCACTTGGAATACTTTTGAAATAGTATAACAAGCTCAAAAACGCTACCGACGTATTTCTCCATAAAAATCACAATAGCGTGAGTAGCTTTTCTCAAGGTGCCTCGAATTAAGTGATCTTAAACGATTCACCGTTTAATTTTGGTTGCAGAACGCAAACTTAGTGCATAATCAAAAAAGTTATAAACATATTTCATACGTATCAAATTGGACGTGATTTTGGCGGAGATATAATTCCTGTACCTTAATTTTAGTGACCGTTCTCAAATGCAAAATTATACCGAGAATTAAATCGGTTTCACGGCTTACAAATTGTAATAAGTTTTGGTTCATTACATCATACATCGATCACATTCACACTCTGCATAAAAATCTCTTTGGGTTGCTTTCGAGCCGATACCCAGTACTTCGGGATAAAGGCGGTCGTAACTGTCCAATTAGCTGAGGTTTATCGAATCGTTATTGCAATTGCCGAGTACCGCTCCCACTAAATCGCTCGCCCAAATTTTAAAAAATTCTTGTAGAAAGGCCCTGAAGGTTTAAAAATAATCTACTTCTAGTTCGATGTATTTTTGGACGCTGATTCCAAATCACCCTCCATGACGTAGGGTAAAAATGCTTCCTTGGAAAGTTATGGGCAAAAAACTGTTTTGGTCACATGACAGGCTAGTAAAACACGAATTTGATTGTTTAGTCAAATTAGTAAAAGCCGCCGAGTACAGCTGCCTCCGGATAGTGCTCCTTTATCTATTACAGTTGTAAATGAATGGAAAAAGCGAGAGACCGATTTCATTCTCGGTATTGTTATAGCTCAATCATTATAGCTCCAACTTTACAGGACTTTACTAGGTGCCCCAGGTAACACATTGAATTTAGAATTTCCATCTATTCATATAATAATTGTACGACATAACTTAGGAAGTGTTCACATACAGTAAAACCCCAATTTACCGCAAACCCTGATTTACCGTGGCCATTTCCTTCCCCCGAATTAAAAATAAAAATGTTGTTGATATAAGCGGGATAAAAATGCTTTATTTCATTTCATTTCATTTCAATGTAAACAATCAAACCCCGATTTACCACGGACCACGATTTACCGCTCCTTTTACCTCTCCCCAAACTCCGCGATAAATCGGGGTTTCTTCGATAAATCGGGGTTTACGTCAGCAATTTTTTTGCCATTCTTACTAAAACTCTTTAAATATCATCGCATCCGTGTATATAAGAAACAACCATTATCTTTTCACTGAAAATGCCTGAAAAGCCACTTACCGCAGCTACGGTGTGCATTTAATTTTGATAAACCACCGAGAACGTAGCTAAACACCAAATCATTTATCATGAAACTATCTATCTCCTGACACCTCAACCTGATCAACTCATCAGCGGTGGTCATGGCCCCAATATTTATTCACTGGGAGCTGGCAAATGTAATAAATTGACCATGTAGTGCTCTTTGACAGCTAAATAGCTAATGCATGCTCTGAGTCTGGCCCATCACTAATGTGCTCGGTGGTAACCAATCCTGCCATTAAAAGGTTAGCCATTAAATTGTTGGTGCTGCTCCCGAGCAGAGAGAGCCCGCTGCTGCACTTGTGCTCTCTCTCTCTCTCTCTCTCTCGCCGCTTAGTAATTATTAGAGGGCAGCAGTTTTCAATAGTACTGCTTACACTAACGTCAGAGCTCCTGCATATTCCTCTCCGAGTTAACTATTGGTTGCTGGTCAGCGAATGGGCTACCTTCACCCGTCTCTACTGATTTGGTAAGGCAACAGAGACTGCATGCAGAGCTCAACCAATGAAACCGCTCCACATTGACACGTGCCGGAATTTCAGTCAATCAGGTGTCAGAAAAGAAGGTCACGTGGTGATGAGCGCCAGGTGAGTACTAGTTGGGATAATTAAATAATAGGGGTTTACTGTTCACCTTCCTAATGCTCGCTCATCCTCAAAACTTCATACAGTTTCTGCTACTAAAGAACAGGACGCACCCCAAACCTGTCAAAACTGCCCTGATTATCGGCACATTATTACTCTCCGCCATTATTATTGTCATGGAAATTAAATGTGGTTTGACCCATCATAGGTGGCATTACTCCACTTAGGTTGGAAGATTAAATGATAAAGTAAGACTAAGAGAATTCCTGCACCAGGGGTCGTTCCAAATGAAAGCCTAGCCTGAAACGTTGTACAAATATCGCCACCTATTGGCCTTGCGACATATCATATCCTAGAGGTGCGAGATCCATGGTGCTAAAATGTTACTTCAACTACATTTTCACTTGGTCATCTGAACACTCACCGAGAAAAATAGTCGAATTCATCTAGTCCATTTCCTGAAATTGGAGTAATCTTGTTCCAAGAATACTTCCGTACTTTCCACAGACGGTCAGGTTGTCAGTTAACTACTTCACTACCTCAAACTTTTGACATTTTAGGGTTCTATCAATGCCATTAACCCTGTGATAAGATAGCCTGGTTACCCGGGAATCACCAATCCCGCAATCTGATTGGACATCTGAGTCACGTGCTAAGAAGGCGGACAATTATAACGTTATCAGTCCACCTTTGTACGCCCTGAGCCCGCCCCGTTTAGGACCTGTAGTAGCTAATAGCACTGTTCACGTCCACCTACCACGTCCAGCAGCTACAACATCCCTATAGTGCTCGAATCTCAAAACTTTTGCGATAATATTTAATGTTACTTACACTTGAGCTGCTAACTTTTAATAGCATTGAGCGCATGCTGAACTTTACTGTATAAATCCAAAAGTAAGATGTATGAGCATGATGGTATAGTAACCATGGTTACATGATGGTATAGAAACGTAAAACAAGGTTATCACCACGATATTCAATCGGAATTAATAGCATTATAAGTTAGTCACTAAATAAATACAGCTATAAATACATTTATTTGATAAGGTAAGATCCAAAGTCAAAGTTATGCAAGTTTGTCGATTTTCTCACATATAATTCGTTCATAAAGACAAACTCGGAATTTAACCAAGCCGCATAATGTCTCATATGACTCCAAGTTCAAGGATTGTTTTTCATTACCTCTCGATAGAAAGTCAAGCTCACTTCAGCCTCCGCAAACGTTTTCCAGATCTAGAAAGTCTTTTAGTCGCTGATCAGGGAGTTACAGGAGCCAATCAGACTGAGCAAATCAGAAGCCAATCAGACTGAGCAAATCAGGAGCCAATCAGACTGAGCAAATGAGGAGCCAATCAGACTGAGCAAATGAGGAGCCAATCAGACTGAGCAAATCAGGAGCCAATCAGACTGAGCAAATGAGGAGCGAGTCAGACTGAAAGTTGGCTAGTCCAGGCAAACTCGCGAGAGTAGTTAACGAGAGGGTAGTAGTGGTGGGTAAGAGGGACTGTCTCCTTCTGCTGAAAGTCAGCTGCGTGTTGTTCCTCTGGGAGATACCTGCACAAGATGGGAGTCAGTTTCTAGTAGAGATTAGAAGGAAATGATGTAAACCAAGGGTCACATTTAAAAGTAGTGAGATCATTAAAAACAGTAGATTTATTGATAGTGTGTTTGCAGGAGCTTGTGAATAACGGTTGCAATTGCGAGTTGGACAGAGATTCAATTTATAATCGGAATAAAGACACAGTATTTAGGCAATGTCTAATTTCAGCCGGGGAAACCCTAATTCCGTTTTAAATCCAACATAAGAGAGGTTCTGGATCGCAATTTTAAACAATTCAGTCATATTTGACACTTTAGGATGAGAGTGAACACTGAACAGTGTAGCAGTGTTTGAGTAAGCGTGATAAATGGTTTGATAGTTTATTAATGAAACACTTAATTGAGAGATCGTGAGGAATATTCCGGTAGCCCTCTACCGAACACCTGAACTGATGGGTGAAGCCAAGAGCTCTAAATGTGCCTCATTGGATAGAATACTGCTGCAGAACTAGCTACTACAGCTGCACTTTAGCTGTGGCTTCTTTTAAAATAAAATTCTAAAAAGAAAGCAATTTTGCAGTTTGCTACACGAATATGGATAGCGGATACATTACTACCTAAATAGTTCACTTTACGGATGCCACGAAAACTGGCTTGATTGTTGAAGTTGATTTTGGAAATGACAATTTTTGTAGTGATGTGACCTGAAACGGAGAAAATTTAACAATAGATTCAAAATTAGCACTGTTAATGACTTTTGTTTCCATGAATAAAACCTCCGTAAAAGTCAGCAGACTTTAACTTGAATCCTAGCAGCAGCAGATCTTACCGATCAAATTCCTTGGTATCGACGAAGAGATCAGAAAGGAGGCTAGAGTTGGGTGGGTTGCTACTTCCGAACAGCCCCGAACTCGCTGCTCCTAACAAACTCGTTCCCGCCGTGCCGGGTTCCTCCGCAAACGTTTCAGTCGCCAAACCAGCGTAGTTAGGGTAGTACTCCGCGGTAGATATTCCTAGAATTAGTTAAACTTGACGATTCAACTAGTTACTAAAACTGCAAAAAGAGCGAGCATTCTGCAATGTTGGGCAAGAAATAATAGTAACTCAGTAAAAGGGCCGAATCTATTATTCCTTTTTGAGCTATTTCAGGATGCAAGTGCTAGAAGTTATATATAATGTTCAGTGTTCACATACCGGTGACTTCGTTGGCCATTCGAATAGATCTTGCTATTGGAGAAAGAATGTTTGAGTTGTGAGTTTTATGTTCACCGTGAGCTGGATTCCTCGTTGGATACGGTTCAGCCCTGAAAATGTATTTGTTAGTAATCATAATTTCTAAAATCTTAATATATTTTTGCAAGTTTTGTCTCGAAGTGATGCAATTGTGACCTGTATTAAAACTAAAATATCGTCAATCAGTGATCATATACCACGGTGAAGTAGAAAGTTTGTTAAAAGCGTATTTTCTAACCTGACTGACGGTCGATGGTTAAGGTGATCTAATGACCTAGGGCTCAAGACCTGGTCCGGTCTGTTCAGAGGTGGATCTTGTTTTCCTAATCCCAAACTCTGTGAAGCAAGGGAGTGAGCCATGTCAGTGCCTCTGGCGGCAAAGTTGGCTACCATATCCCGGAGAATAGTTTCATCGGCATTACCACAGTTCTGTTGAAGTGAAGGTTGAAGGATTGAACACTGAACATCTTAATTGCCCCCAATTTTCAGAATTAAACCTCCATTGTCAAATATGGAAAAGTTTTCAGGACACAAATCAGTAGTAGATAAAGTTCATTACTTAATTTATTACTTAATTAGTTACTTATTTAATAACTTAATTAATAACTTAATTAATTACCTGAGCATTAGGTGAGGAGGCGGTGTATACAACATCTCCAGTGGTTGGTCTGGAGTAGGTGAGGGAAGTGAAGACTTGGTTACTGATGTAGTCTCCTCTGGAGGTGATGTAGTCTGGTCTTGATGCGATGTAATCACCCCTGGAAGTGACGTAGTCGGGTCTCCCAGTGATGTAATCAGATCTCGAGGTTATGGTTGTGTCGTCAACAGGATTGTAAGGAGATCTCTGGAGGTTTGAGCTGGCTGTGTAGGGGTAGAAAGAGGTTTGAGGGGAGGAGAACTGGAGAGGAGATGAGGCAAGGAGTACTGAGTTGGGTATAGACTCCTGCAAATCAAAATGAGATTATTACTTTCTAAAACTTGTTGTTGTATCTGCAATATAACGTAATCTGCAAAATTATTGTGGTTTTTTGATTTGTCTCAGAAATGATAGCCGTTTAAAATCTTGGCATTATTTTTGCAACGCCCTCTTTAAAGCTTTATAAAAAACATAAAAGCGAATAATAGCGATAACCTACCTGATTGACTATTTGAACTTGGTTGAGACAGCTTCTTTGAACGTCTGTTTCCTCCTTCAGACTGATAGCTTCGTCTATTTGGATCCCTTTGAGAGGCGAAGATTTCCTCCTTTTTGGGCGATACCTGGAAGGTCTATGATGAATTTATAGAATGACCTTTTTCTATTTTCTGAAGTGCAAATAATGTGAAATATTCCGAATCTTAAAGTTTAGGTCCTTATTTTGTTTCTACCAGCACCGGGGGTATTTATAAACCAGTATCTTTTACGTTGCCAACCATTTAATGTTTTTTTAAATCTTTAAATAGATTATAAACAGGGTCCTGTATATAACAGAGGGACAAACAGTTTCTTGCAACAGTTTCTTAAAGATTTAATTTAAGTAAACATAGATTTCTACTTCGTGGGAGGTATAACTATACTAGTTACCGAACCCACGCCCAGTTTAATTTTAGTTAAATTCTCACTTGTACTCGGGATGTTCGCGGCGATGTTGTTGCCTCAACCTCTCTGCCTCGTCCACAAAGGGTCTTTTGTCTGGCTCGCTGAGTTGCTTCCACACTTTGCCCAGTGTCTTGCTGAGTTCTGCGTTGTGGAGGTAAGGATGTCGTTCTGCTAACTTCCTTCTGGCCGCCTGGAAGTGTTCAAATGTTAGCTGTTCATGTGATTAGACAGATATGCTTTTACGTCACTTTGCTCTTTAAGTTTAAACTCACGTGAGAATTATAGTTTTAAGTCCAAATTTGGGAGAATTTTGAATGGAGTTTTATGATTTCAATCAAATAGTCTCAGGGCTCCGATCTCTGCAATCCCAAATTTGGTTGCGTCTTCGTGCACCTTTATTATAGGAGCACCATCGTTAGAAGTAGAAGCATTATTTGTGACGAGTATTTGATCGTTACCGCCATATGAAGACAAATCTCTCCCCGCTTATAAAGACACTAACAAAGAATAAAATTTACAGGAGTATAAACAATATCCTAGATTTGTAATTATATTACTGTCTCAATGACTGAGAAAAGCTTTAATATGCTGCCTCTTTAGGAAGTGATGACGCACGAATTCTTTTATTAAGACTGGGTGTTTACATGTCGATAATCAGCCGTGATTTTCATTAGAATTGTTTCAAATACATTATAATATTATAGTTATAAGTTATATCGCCATCGGCCTTATGTTTTCCGACCATTAATATTAAAATGGTTTGGTGTTTTCGGCCCTTATACTGTTTCCCCGTTCGATTAAGAATAGCCAAAATGTCGGGTTAATATAAAAGCATCCCACTTAACTGTTTTCCCCACTCGTTGCCCTTTATACCAATTTTGGGATCAGATGTTTAGCTCAAAGACAAAGATGGTGTTAAAAAGAAATTAGCAGTATCTGTAAGACTAAGTGTTTTTCACTGCTCTAACAAAAGCTCGTTAGGGTAGAGCGAGATAAACTGAGTGGAATAAACTGTTTATCCTTTTTTACCGTTTTATATCTGCCGACGATGTTGATTCATGATACATTACCGGGTCAAAATACTGGTACACTGGTCAAAATACTGGTACACTGGTTAGAATACTGGTAGTGATATTCTGGTCTATTCTATCAAGTAGGCTTTTATGCCGATGATTGGAATAGTGGAGCCTGTAGTGGAGCCTGTAAGGAGCCTGTAGTGGAGCCTATATTGGAGCCTGTAGTGGAGCCTGTAAGGAGCCTGTGAAGGGGCTGATGAATTAACATCGCACCACGATATATCGCGGATTTAGCAAAAAGACGGTGCGAAGTTTTGAGGTGCTAAACGTCCCGGAATCGGCTTGCTCTTTAATCAGACTCCTGAACGCTGGGACGCAATTAAACTCCTAATACAGGGTGCCCGGTAAGTAAAATTTTATCCCTCCAGCACGACAAACTGGGTCACGTGGGTTGCCTGGAGCACTCTCATTGGTTGCCAGGTAACCGCGCACGTGAGTAAGTGCTAATGATGTCCCAACGACAGACAGACGACCATCTCTTGCTTGTTTTGCGGTACCGTGGCAAATGGATGGAGTTTAATACGGGGCTACCTGGTTACTTGAGTGTATCACGTGGGGGTTTGGTGGTGTCTGATTGGCTGGAGTGCCCTACAGTGGAGTTTCTCCCGGTTTAATTATTGTTATTTAGATGCAGCGTTAATCATACGATAATTCGAATCTATAGCTGATCCCCTCACTGCATGCAGGGTATATAACTGAGTAACTGAATAACTGAGTAACTGTATATCCAGCAAGGAAATATATTCATCTCGGATTACAGAAGAAAGTATGGTCATTGCTCCAAAACGTCAAATCTCCGAATAATTACTGATTTGCACCCTGATTTGAAACACATTATGTGAATAATGAACATAAACTTTCAGGAAATTTTCTGGTGAATAATTATAAAGCGAAATATCACCGGTCAATTATTGGTCACCACGTTAGAAGTTATATCATGCAATAATTGTATTTACTGTGGTATTAATCACCCGTGACGGATTGAAAATCAATTGACGGCATTAATCAATAGATAATTAGGTGAGTTTAACACTGGGCCAGTATTGGGGGCCGGAGGGCCGCACGTGGATGAGAATTGGGGAATTACCGGAAAGCAGACTAAAAACGTAGGAGTTGTACAGAACCACTAATACCAGTGAGTTGACATATATACAGGGCCAAATTAACGGTGCAAGTTGGACAAATAACTCGCTTCATGGCAAGGAGATGTGAGGATCTGTGGTAATACCAGGAATACCCGTTTGTATGCAAACAAAGGAAAAGTAACTGCTAATGACCGCTGAAAGGAACAAGAGGAAGAGATTGTGTCACAGATTAGGTCACAGATTGTGTCACAGAATGCACGAGCTTATCGACATATTCTATTGCCGTCAAAATTCAATTTTGCAGAAAAATTTTGCAACCAGAATACTGTAAAGTACCGTAGATTGGGGTAAAATCGCCGTGTCGGGGAACTTCGCCACTATTTTTCAAATAATCATTTTACTGTTTTGAATTGTTAGGAGATCGAGTTTTTGTATAGTATTGTGTTGAACAAATGGTTATGAAGGTATTCCTATTCAAAAATAAACGTTTACTATGTCAATTAAACTCAGGCAACATGAAATATTGCTTTAAAGTGGCTAAAATTTCCTGCTTGCATATTTCCCATATTTTACAATTATATCCTTAATTAATTCTGTGTGACATCATTAGCATATGTCCTGTTCATTTAAGGGCAAATTTAGTTAGCCATGATGCACACAACTGATATTATAAAGTTTTCAAATTTGTGTGTGGCGAAGTTACCCTCTTCTGATCCCATCTGTTCGGCGAAGTTTGGCGCGAAATTCGCGCGCGGCTGGCAAAGTCACGCACGTGTATTGGCGAAGTTCGACTACATTTCTACTTCATCCCGGCGATGTTACCCGCAGCATGGCGATGTTACCCCGGCGACCAAATTGCCCATTGTAACACGCAGGCTAGAGCTAGATAAGTAAAATTGGCAGGTATATCAAGGAAATATAATTGAGTTTCGAGTGGTATGGTGCTTAGCACCGAATATGGTATAGTTTCAGAATGGCGAAGTTACCCCATATTGCAGGGTAACTTCGCCCTGATTTCAGTGGCACCAATCTAGCTGACTATTTATGCCTGGCTGATGTGGTTCATACGAAAACATTTGCTTTACCAATCCTGTTCATATGAGCTATAAACTTTTTCAAGTACTCCTGTCGTATTTTCTAAATAACATGAAATAGCTGTAAAACATGGCGAAGTTCCCCCATTCTACGGTACGTATAACGATTCTTTGACACATCAAATATTATTTAACAGATTCAACGGAGACATTGTGTTTGGAATAATATGTGAGCAATTTGCTCACACCCGCATGAGTAAAATGTTTTATCCTATTTCCCATTATTGAAGCTTGACACGTGACTGGGAAATTGAACTGCAGATCTCTTCATTTTGTAACTTTCATTCCAATTTGTGCATCAAACGAGTTTTAGTTCCATCCTTCAGATGGTTTTAGTTCTACCCTCAGGTTTCAGCTCCCAGTACCATTAATTTGGACATGAGATTAGTATTTTATTATGTGACCACCGTTATTGTTCATATATGTGAGCAACTTCACGATCGAAGATGCTACCATGAAATTTGAAAGCCTAGCCAAAGCAACGTCCACGTTCCACCGCTCCACGTGATTCCCTGTTCCGCACTTTTATTCGTTCCATTAGATTGAATGTCAACTCCGCTTTTCCGAGAGCTGGTGCTGTCATTTTAATGCTGCTTCAAGATACACGTCTAATCAGTTAATAGTGTGTCCATAAAGCCAGACGGAGCACTGCACTGATTTAATCAGTATTTTTGGAGCACCACTAATTATAATTTACTTACAAAATTAACCCTGAAGATTTAGAACTAATTTGAACAGGTGTCAAGTGCAGGTTTCGTTTCTCAAATTAACTCGCTCGTTTAAAACCTTCAAGAACATTGATCACAATAAATCTAGTTAGAGATTGACAAAATGGATGGAAATTGGCAGGGCTGTTTTGGGAGTTGCAAATGCATGTCTTCTATTACCTTGCAGTGACATTTTAATGGTCCATAAGTCAAACTCAGTGAATATGAAGGCCTCCAATCTCCAAATTTAATGTATCATATCGCGGCAAGGAGTGTCAGATCTCCTGTGTTTCAGATCAAGTTCACCATTCCAAAGATAAGAAACTTCTTGTGTGCATAATATGTTTCTCGCGAACGTTTAATCCGAATCAACCATAAAATCTCTCATCTCCAGTTCCAAATATTTAACAATTTTAACCACCAGCGATGAAACCTCCGTGGACATCCTCTGGACAAGTATAAATAAGGAAATAAATTAGACCACGGCTGGTATAGATAATGAAGATAGAGCGCAAAAAAAGTTCCTTTTTCGGCAATACCATTTAGAAATCAATGTTATTTAAATACAAATTATGAACGGACCTCTAGGATACAGATAAGTGGACATATCTCGGTGATTTAATCAAATTTCCCAGGCCTGCTAGTATTTATAAACGTTACCGACGAAAATAATACTTCAAGTTTTAATTTCTCATTTTAAGTAACTTGGCTTAGATAGAACTGATGATCTTGTTTTTCGAAGATTTGCAAGAATTGAAGTCGTATTATTTATACTAGTTTGCATGGTTAGTCAGCAGTTCACAGTTGGTTTCGTAAAACCCTTAAGAAATATTTGGATAACAAATAGAGATGGTCTAAACATGGATATTTGAACGGTTAAGATTTGCGGAGTGTAGAAGTAATCGTGTTAATAAATATCACTAAAACTTTCAGTTCTTCGTTTCACATTCTCTGTCTTGTGAGACAATCGAATAAATCATAAAAAGCTAGTCGTATAATTGGTAAGAGTGTAATGATCATGTCGCAATACATTGCTACTCTAAGGTAAATTTATATTAATAGAGTGAATTTGTTGTATGTTGTAATTGGACACAATGCTTACCCGGTAAGCTCCTCAGAAAAGTGAGAGATTATCGAATAAATACTAATAGTATAGGTACAAAAATAGCCTAAAATAATTGGATTTTCGACCGGAAATTTCGTCTGAACTTCCAGTTGCAAAGATTTGTGAAATTGTAGAGTGAATATCAATAACTATTCCATTTTCCATATGGAAACGAATCTATTCAACAACAAAAATCTGAGATGGAGAAAGAAAAAAACAAACCTGAGCCCAGACCATGAAAGCGTTCATGGGCCTTTTGATTCTTTTTGTTCCGTCGTCAGCCAATGTGGTGTAGTCAACCCTATCAGGAGTGATGTTCCAGTTGAAGCTCTTGATGATTTCCATGATATTGACCTCCCCAGATTGGCGAGGCTGATGCTGCATCTTGTTAAAATATATTCGTACGGATCGTAAACACACAAGTAAAGGAGCACGGTTGAGAAGTATATCGGCGGAGGTCTGGGGACGCACATTAGCTCTGTATGTGCTCTGTCGCGCTGCACAGCTCTCTCCGATCACGTGGTGACGTCACGTGATGCGCGGCTCAGACACGTGACGTCACTCTGGAAGCAGCCCATGGAGGGAGCTAAGTGAGAGCAGGATAGGGTGCAACCACTAAGCCGTGATATAGGGGTCTGATCAGCAGGTCAGGCAGCAGGGTGGTGTGATAAGAGGAGGAGGAGGGTGTTAAGTAGGTCCGGACCGGACAACAAGCAGCAGGAACTGAGGGGGCGGGTTCCAGCGCCCCGGCCTCTTATAGGTGCCTGGTGGGACAATGGTTTTTAGACGGCCTAGTGGTATTGTTTACAAACATTGAGATAGGTCTCGTAAATAGTATTAGGATTACAGGCAAGACTGACAAGAGTAGTATTATTGTTTAGTGGTGTTGTTACCAGCTCGGTGTGGTAGATACTATTCTCCTCACCATCACTTGTGTCCCCCCGACACCTTCCAACCGTAACTACATGATACCCCCTCTGGCAATACTCCACTGTTGCGAGACACAGGGAGTGTCTCTTCGTGACCTTACAATTACATTATGTGATATGGGTGTGGCATCTTCCTTTAGGCGCATACTCTATATTAATATAATACTGGTATAATTCAGTACACGAAGCAAACAACTGTGCACTAGGTATTGATCGGTTGGGAACTTTCTCGATTCTGAGAATATCAATCAAGAGTTAAGGCACAAATGGAATTCTGGAGAAGTCTATAATAGATAAACAATTTAAAACGTTATTAAGATTTTTAGATCAAAGTTCGAATCTATTAGATTGCATTTGCAGCTTGAGATCTTTTATAAGTTCTATAACTGTCCAGTAATCGAACAGCATTATTGTGGAATAATTTTTCTTTTATTTTGAACGACGACTTGATAGTACGTTGGTTGACACACATTTGAAAGTTACTTGACGCACGGTTAAGGCACAATGTCTACTTTGAACTACTTTACAGTTACTGGTTAAAAAAACAGTGTTATACAATATTATAAGAATTGATAAAGACCTCGTCCTCACATTCAGGAGGGAAAATCTGGAATTAAGGATCAAGAGATTATATGAATGCAAAGAGGTTGAATACCGATATAAAGATATGAATGCAATGGTGATGCATACGTGAACTCGGCTGTTTTCACAATCAGGGTGTTTCCTTTGGTTACACGATCATCACATATTATGGGGTTTGACATAACAATTAGACGTTAAATTGTGGTTATGAAGTCCGAAGCTTCCGAGATCTTTCTGAGCTTAAGATCTTTTTTGAACTACATAGTTATCAGGCAGAATTATCGTAGACGTAATAAGTCAAGTAAAATTAAATGGAAGATGAAATGTTTTTAAATAGCAACAGGTTAGCTTAAAAAATAAAGCAGGATCGAATTCAATAAATTTAAATGACTAAAATGTATATAATTTTTGACTAATTTCTTACCTTTCGATTGATCGGAAGAAACACGTTCATGTTTTACTATTATTGCAGATAATCAGAAATGTGTTCGGGGGAACCATCTCCTAGGTGCCTGAAATATAGAAATTTTCATTTTTATAAACGCACCAAAAAAGTACTCACAGAAATTTGAAGATAAATAAATTCAAAGGTATCTGGAGATCAAGAATGTTTGAGATTAACAGTTAAACGACGAACGTCACCATCAACAAGGTAATTGTTCAACGATCCAATCTCTCTGTTTACAAAATCAGAAGTATAAGTTCTTTATATTATGATTATATACTCGTCAGAATTTGACATCTTTTGTCGACAACTATTAAACTTATAGTTATAATGATTCGTTTATGATCATGACGCCGAGACAGGATTACGTCGTTAAATCTGGCATGTATTTGATTTAAATGGTGTTGTCACTTTGTCAGACGTCAGTTCACATCCGTTGGTTCCCTTCAAATTTCAGTCAGCTATCGAGCATGTTTCAGTCGTACGGTTCTTTGGAAATTTTATTAATTTCAGAATATCAAGCCCCTGGAGGTTGATTGATTTGAATTCCGTTGTGATACCATTTTTGGCAATTTGATACCCTTTTTGCCTATTTTATACCCTTTTTGGCCTTTGATACTTTTTTTCCCCTCAAAAAGGTATTAAAAGGGCCAAAACTGAACCGGAATCATCTTTAATCCGGCCGGATCCAGCCTCGCTGGTCGGTTCAGAATTTCCCAATCTATAAGATTCGAATGTTTCTTGAATTCAGAGCTTATTGGTTTTTGACAGCTCGACAATCTTCCTTTAAATATACAACCGACCCGCTAAGTCCATTTCATCCATTTGCCCTAATTGTCCTCCAAAACAATTACTATTAGAACACTTAGAACGCGCTCCATTGTTCAAATAATCATCTTGGCACGTGTCAGACTTTTCCACTGTACTCTTTGACACTTTGTATCATGGGAGGATATACCAATAATCACCCAACATCTGCTGTGAAAGCCATCATCGGAGCATGAAAAGATTTCCTGGTATAGCCTATCAGGGGCGCGTGTGGGTGTCTGTGTTCTGACAAAGTGGCCTATTGTTTTGGGCAATTAAATGTGCTAATTGGCGATCCATCACTGTCATCTAATCACTCAGTTCCCATTATAGTTAATGCATCACGTTCACAGGTCAATGGACTTTGGCTCATGTCCGTGTTCAAGATATAAAAACAAAATGCCAAAATGTATTTATGGAGATGCAATAGTGATATGATAATAATATAAGATTAAGAATCAAGGTGATACAAGAATTCTCTTGGATCTTTTAATCAGACATTAGTTTAAATGGAAGATGAATAATAAATGAGAAATGACATAAACAATGAATGATAAGTGATATTCAAATTTGAATTATGATAAATGATATATAAATTTACAAAATTCTATAGCAATTGCCAATTGGAGTAATGATCACCACCCCGCCAACAACACCCACCCCCACCCCCGCGACACATTGCGTGCAATTGCGAAACTTACCAATTTCCCTCTCCCGCTGCTCATATAGCACTAAGTATTTTATATTATGTCAGAGTGCTTCTTAAAAAACTCTCATGTCTATGATATAGATAATAAAGAATTTGTTTCCATTATCATTTCATCAAAACGCAGAAAACTATATACAAATTATCGAGCTAAATCGATTGTTTTAACTTTATATTAATTTCGTCATACAGTAATGGAACGTGTTTCTTGAGAATGCGTTGAAGAGATGTTTTATTATTATTAACAAATCAAATCCGGTGCGTGGTCTAAATGCAGGCTGCAAATTTTCAAGCTCTGATGATTCAGCGGAACCAGACGCGAGAGCAGTTTTGATGATTTCATTTTGAATTAAGCATTAAAGCCTAAAAGGTTCTCACGCCGGTCGACAACGCAAGCAATCTTTGATATAATTGATTAAGCTAATTCATTAGGGAAACCCCACGACAAATAATGGTATTGCATAACTTTGGGAGCGCAGGTTATCTACATTAAGCTTAACTTGATAGGTAATAGGTACTGGTAATTGTATTCAGCATTATTCAAATCTCATTCGATCGTCGCACAGGGCTCTGGCCGGCAGAGCTGCTCATTTCCAGTATTTGAATTCAAGTATATATCAATGCTTTATCTTAGAGTTATACTGCACACCAATCTGATATTACCTGATATTTATAAATATAACGTACCTGGTACCGGCCATGAGTGCCAGCAGCCTCTTAGTTCGAAGATATCACTCCGCCGAATCTGAGGAACAGTTTTAGTTGTACTACTACTACAGTACTTATAGTACTAGTAGTTAGTAATAGTATCAGTGAAGTTGAAGGCCTTCAGCTTCAGGCAAGCTGGTCGCTCTTATTAGTTGGTCACAAAATGTTTGCTTATTGTGCAAATCATTTCCACTGTTTGTAGAGGACTGTTTGTCGCTCCTCACTAAAGATGTACGGAGCAAGGAAACTACTCCAGCTTGTTTACATTACCAACTGTACAATGTACCGATTGTATTACCATATTGCTGCATGAGGCGGTAATGGAATTGGCCAATAATTTGCTTTGCTAGAGGTATCATGGCAAAAGAAACCGACTAACATCACTTCGTATCGGTCGAATAATCAAGATTTGCAAAATTATTACTATAAGTATAACCCCTTAAAACCCATTGAGGAAATTTCTCGAGCCTGATGACCACTAAAAGAAAGTAAGATCCAACTAGAGCTTAGTTCAACTTATTGGATCGTTCTAATTAGACCATCTCCTTGTCATGTCAATATTGGACATTCTTTTGGAAGATTGCGCAACGCGCTGTCACTCTCGCCACGGTGCAATCGCAGGTTTTTTGTCATTTTTGTGCTTATCATATTCACAATGCCCGATATCGACAAGACCCAGACACGATGTGTGAGTTTGTTAATCTAGCTTTCGCGCTTTTCGTAAGAATTTGAAAATTGCTGAGATTTGCTCCATAATAAGATTACATAGTTATATCCACCAGCGTGCGCTTTTTCGCATAGCGGGCTCTCACCAGCCCGCTGTCAAAGGGCCCGATATCTCTACAGCCCGCTCATGATATAGCCCGCTAACAAGTGACATTTAATTTGACCAGTAGCAATATAGCCCGGAGTTCTCTAAAATATTTTCAGTCTCTGTATCGTCTCCATGTGAAATTCCTTATTACACTGGAATATATATACATTTATTTGTGTCCGGTAGGGCTGCTCATGCAGCTCGTGAGCAGATGACATGATACTTTGATTTATATCAACGTTATTATAACACACTACATAATACACATCAGCACTATAATCCCCCTATATTATTGATATTCATCGTCACTGACATTACATTCATTATTCCCACGGCCCAGGAATACAGTGCATCTCCAGCCCCTATATACGACACAGCCCTTTATGATTGGCT